TAATGTTTTTCTACAATTAACTGAGGTCGCTAATGAGCTTGATGAATATTTAAATTTAGCATAAATATCAAAGCCAAAATATTAATTCATACTTTTGAAAATGACAATGACAACTCTCAATTAACATAATTTGGTAAAGAAAATAAAAATAAATCTCACTTTCGAAGCTCCTAAACTTCGTGACAATTTTAAATGACTTGCACTATTGAGAGATCTTCCACCTTGAGTCGACTTTCCAGCAATTGTAGAGGGCTGATAACTAACAATACTAGCACTTCGCATTGCATATCCGGGTCGGCCAACATACGAGCCATTTTGTATCTGATTACTTCCTATAACTGAACCTGTAATACCATAGCCATTTTCATTTGAATCTCTTTGAGCAGATACCAGAACTTCAAATGGTACATGTGCTGTTTGATTATAATCTAATTTTGAGCCAGAACGGATATTACTAGCTCCCCCAGAGAGAATAGAACCAGAAATAATGGACCCATGTCCACCATTAGCATTTTCTGTTGCGCCTGTCGTATATTGTTGATTTGATTCTCCTGATCGTAGAGACGAATTACTGCCTGTTCGATATAGTTGGTTTTGTCGAGCTTGATGATGCTGAAGCCTAACAAGATGGCTTGACATGGATAATTATCCGTGTAAGCTAAAAAGACAGGTCATTAAAACCATAAAAAATATATGCTGATCAAACAATACAAAATAATTAAGCATCTAATAGAAATATAGATAGTTACAATAAAGATACCTCGAGCAAAGTAAGTGAGTAATGAGTCAGCGCCATTGACGCATTGCGAATTAGAGATAATAACGTGACGCAAGATAGTAAATCAAAGCATAGGAAGAACAACCAGAAAATAAGTAAATGTCAAGTTTAAGAGAACTTCAAGAAAAAATCAACTGATCCATAAAAGGATGAAATCATACTTTATATTGAGGAATAATATTTGGTTTAAAAAGAAGTTTATCCTTAGAAATAAAAAACACTATTAATAAATATTGACAATAAAACGATAAGTAAGCAATTCAGAAGGAAGTTAAAATAGCTAGATTTAAAGTATAAAATTAATGAAGAGTTTTTTTCAATATTATAAAGCAGCAATTAAAAAAATTTATAAAATAAACACAGTATATTAGTTAATAATACAAATAATACGATTTTCTATTACCTATACAGAAATGATTGTAAATAACTGAATTTCCACAATACGTTTAAAGCCGTAACAGTAAATAAAAGAAAAAACAATCAAATAGTTAAAACAAAATCTTAGAATATTAAAGCTTCTAAATAGTCTTAAATTGCTATATATATTTAAACTGCATTATTAAAAACATACAATTTAATATTTTTTAGAAGGATTGTTATTATTTGACGAAATATCTCTAAGTATTTGCATAGGATAATACTATTAATATTCAGATTAATGATAAATGCTACTCTTAATAATCACGTTTAACAATACATTTTCAGGAAAAAATGTTTCATTTAATTAATTCTCTTAATATTTTTTTATTATGATTATGTATATAAATAAGTAACTTTAAATATTATTTTCATATTCTAACAACATTTAAATTTAAAGAATATATAATTTATAGATACGAAGTCTAACTAGGCTTAGATGAATTACCTGAGATCACATTGTTTAAGAGACCTTATTTCATATGAAATTGGATTATGAAGAGATGCGTTACTTGATCCTACCAGAAGACGACGGATGAATTCCATTTTACTACAAACTGCAGGCTGACGCAATCAATGAGATTTCTTCCTTCACTTCGGGCGCAAACTAGCTGGCATTTCGTTTATCATATGATGATGATCATCAAAGCTTAAACACATTCTTGTTAAAGTCTCAATTTAACACTAGTTCAAAAAGACTTTGCGGCTCTATCTTTCTTCCTATGAATACTAATAACTAAATACGAAAATGCATAGGGATAGATAGATATAGGATGGCTTGCCGTACTGTATTTGGAAGAAAAAAAATTAAAAGCTTTCCTAATCTTCTCAAACTAAATAGATAAAAATTCAAATTAACCATAGATGTGGAAAAGAACGGACACTTACCGCTCTTGGATGTAGATCTCATTTGCTCCGAGGAAGCTTTCATGGACAAAACCTTTCTGAAATATGATTCAATAAAAATTAAGTTTCAATCAAACCATACTTATGAGATCACGATTGGAATACTGGAGAATATGGTCATCAGAATCTTACGACTCACTTTTTCTGAGTTTTAGAAAGAAGAACTAGGAAAACTAACTCAGATTTTTCTTGAAAACAGGTATCCAGAAAAAGTAAAATCATGAGAAATAAGGATGGTGATAAATAGATGAAGGATGTAGCTTTTGAGCCGAAAGTAAGAGGAGCAGAGGAAACAATAGATATGGCTACCATTTAGCGAAGTAACTCGGAAACTACAGCTAATACTTAGAAAATGGAACATTCATTATCCTGAAAGAAAAGAACTATTCTCTTAATTAGCCTGATCACACAACAGGAAGAAATCAACAAAATGGAGTGCGCCGGAGTTTACCGCCTAAACTGAAAGGACTGTGAACACAAATTCTTGGAGAGTCAGGAAGGACAAACTGCACAAGTGTCAAAGATCACCAGCGACTATGCATTAAAAAAATGCGGAAATATCGGAGAGAGCTAAACACATCGCTATTACCGGCTACACAATTGATTTGAATGTAACGGAAATCTGGCCTAATATGGGGCAAACACAAAAACGGAATATCAGGGGGGCGGTAAAAATCATCTTTTTAAATAAACCTATTAAACACGAAATTGGAAGAGGGTAGAGTAAACAATAATTTTGTGCACAGCCCGAGTAGACTTGGAGATTCAACGAAGACATCAAAAGGAAGACGCTTGAGCTTAGGACAACTGTTCAACAACAGGAAGAGAAATTTCCATTAAGCGGGTTATGAGGAACAAACAGAAGTCAAGAAAATGCGACTGTAGTAAGAGGAGTTATCCGTAGAATTGTCCAAAAATTTACCCAGGGGCTTACCTGTGAGATGTAGGATTTGAAATAAAAGGGTATAGGTATAGGTGGGCTAGATAGAGGTCACCAGCGTGTGCGCATAGTTGTTGTGTGTAATGTCTGTAGCTGTGGCTAAATGTGAGTTTATTAGAGACAGGCTTGACCAAGGGGGAAACCAACCAATACACACATATGAATATCATCCCAGTAGCCTAGGATTATATGGGAATTTCAATTTGAGAGATTATAGAGGCGTGTTCCTCGCGATTTAATGGATAAAGGGTAGGCGGTGTATTCACACACAAGCGGTTATGTCTTAACCTGGACACATAGCCCAAAATAATTAGACAAAATGTGGGTGGAAATGAGGGATAGGATAATTGAGACATAGGTTTAGAGCCTAGGAAGAGAAATATTCCTAGGTACCGGTATTAACATAGTCACGGACATGAACATCATCTGCTTTAAATCCTCGAATATTGTGTAGTTGAGGACAGGAATTGAAGGCTCCTAGGCAGCAAGATTTCAGGCAACCAAACAGTAATTTTGATAGAATATATGAAGACCAAGATGTTGTGGTCTCTGTTATGGTCGCAGTCTCCTTTCGATTTATAGAAGTTGGTTGACCTCGTTATCGCAACTTGATCTTGTTGTCAGGGCGACCATATAGAACGCACCTAGTCCGAAGTCGTTTGCCATAGTAGTTGTTATGAATTTGAGCATCTGACAGTGAACCTAATACCTTCTCAACCGTTTTTATGTCTTGCAGTGGCCAAATGACAACCGGATTGAAAAAAAGAGTGAGACAGAATGTAGGTCAGAAGCCCTGCAAACGGCATCTAATACCGGTGATGGAGAGGATTACGCTACACTAAATCCACTTGTGACTACACTATCTTAGGCGAAATTGGAGGAAATTAGAGCAAATAATTGTGGGAATAAGTGGATGGGCCATTTGAGTGGTGTTAATAGAAAGGGATGCGGAACTAGAAGATTGGAAAAAAAATAGGGGCTAGGAGTGATGCCACAACGTCTGAACATAAAATTGGTCAAAAGTATTGCCTTCACTTGTCACATTTATTAGTTGTAGCTGTGTGCTTACAATGGCGCTTCTCACTGACGATGCTGGCGAAATGTTTGGGAGTATACCCAGCCAATGTTCCAATGTTGGAAATAATGAATATCCTAAGAGAGGACACAGGTCTAGGTGCGTTCTACAAGGTCTCCCTGACACACCGACCAAGTTGGATTAACAAGGTCAAACCAACACTATAAAGCATATCTACGTTTTAAGAATCTTTTTTACTGGTTCTATTACTTTTGCCCAAGTTTGTGTTCGTTTTCATGTCTATATACAAAATTGCTTCCAAATCATAGTTAGTGTCAGGCTCTGGTTATCAAGGATTTATGATGCAAGAAAAAACACAGACCAGGACTGTGTTGGTTTGTAAGCAAGTATGGTTGAGATAATGAGATGTAAGCTTGCAAGTATGTAATTCTGGTTAGGAAAAAGTCTGTAAAATCCTTTCAGTCTAAAGACATTGATATATAACGACTAAAGAAAAAGCATAACAGGAACTGTATAATCTCGAACGTTTGGCTTGGTTGATGAGCTTAATCTAAAATATAGGACAAGTGTGAATGAAGTTAGAATTATAAATGAGCATACAAGTTAATTCGCCTTCATATGAATGTCGGCTCAACGCTCTTTGCAACATTGAATCTATAAATCAAGCATGAGCACTTCTAACTTTATTCAACTCGATATGGTCTCCACCGCGTCTATCCTGTCTCTATCCGTAATGCCAAGCCTATGACTTCATATGCCCTAGTATCTTGTGTGCCAACCCACAAATATTGTGGTTCTACTTATTTTGATGAGGTTCAATTTAAAACTACAATATTTGTAGGCCGGCACACAAGAGACTAAGGCATAGGAATTCGTAGATATGGTATTATGGATATGAACAGAATAAATGCTGTGGAGACTAGAGCAAGTTGGTTAACAATAGACGTGCTTCATGAACCACGTCTATGAGCAAACACGTCTATTGTTAGCAAAATAGCGCTAATATCTACTACGTTTATCCTCTTCTATCGCTAATATCAATTCTATGATATCTTATGCGTCAGTCTGTTTTGTGGTTCTATCTGTTTTGATTATACTAACTGTATACGTCTCCTCTTGGTTTTTAAGTGTTAATTTCTGGTCGCCTTGCGAACTCTTTTCTCAAAATAAAAAATATTATCTTAATCCATCGTTTTCTTTTTCCTGACTTACTGCTTTCTGGTCTTCTTCGAGTTTGATTATGCAATGTGCAAAGTTTCCGCTGATGGTGCCTTTTTCAATTCTTCTGTTAATTAGAATTATTTTGAGCAGTAAATCAATGGCCTTCCGGATTTTGCGTCTTCTCCTATTTTTAATATATGCAACCAGCCTTTCTGTGGATTTCCATCGATTTTGTGTCCACTGCGTGTAATATTTTCTAGAATTTCGGATCTTTCCATATCCATGTTTTGCAGAGTCTTTGATGTTCCTTGATTTGAAGGACGATTTTTCTTCCGGTTTCATCGATATACTTCTGCTTACAGCTGCCGCATTTGGTGCGATAAACTTTGGTTCCGTTCACA